ATGCGGTTCCGCAGATGCGAATAAGGGATCGCAGGTGAGGGTGTTGGCCATTTGGAGAAATTCCACAGAAGCGGATGGTTTCCGCAGGTGCGGTCTCCGCAGATGCGGTTAATGACCGCAGAAGCGGTCTGTGCATGCAAGGGAGGTTTCGCAGAAGCGGCGTCCACAGAAGCGGAGATTGACCGCAGAAGCGGTCCCGGGCATAGTGAAGATCCGCAGAAGCGGAGGGAAAACCGCAGAAGCGGAAACCGCAAATGCGGTAATTGGATCGCAGAAGCGAAAATAAGGTCTGGGCAGAAGGGTTTAAAAATTAATATTTCATCCGCGAGCTAAGGTATTTTTCCACCATTTTTGAACAACCTTGAGAGCTTTTGGACGGAAATTGAAGGGGGTTTCGACTGGGTGTGATTGGAGGTGAGTTCTATGGCCTAAATACATGATTTAATGGAAAAATTAACCTAGAAATTTATGGAAATTCATCAAAAAGGGAGAACAGCTAGGGCTTGGTTTTTGGTATTTTAAAGTGGGTTTTGATGGGCCATTTGAACTCGGATTTGGGAATTCTTGGTATGTATAGACTCGTGGCGAGATAAAGAATCCGATGATGTTAAATTTTCTAATTTTCGAGAAGTGGGCTCGGGGCTCGGGCTTTGCAAATTTCGTGAATTTCGATATTTTTCGAGTCTTTTTGATTGGGTTATGTTCCCTTAGCCTATTGTAACGTATTCGTTGTGGTTTTGATCAGATTTGACGCGCGAGGAGGTCGATTTGCGAGGCAAGGGCATAGCGAGCTAGGATTTTGGCCAGCTTGAGGTGAGTAATGATAGTAATGATATCCCGAGGGTTTGAAACCCCGGAATTGCACAACGTAGTGCTATATTGAGGTGAAACACGCGCTTAATGGCGAGCGCGGGGTTGTTTACTACTGGGGATCGCGACTTGGTCCGTCCCGTTTGATAATTTACCGTGTATTTGACTGAGCTGTCCTGTTTATCATCATGATTTGGGCTTATTGCCATATTTTGGGCTTAATGCCGACTACTTGAATCCTTCGGGGATT